CAGTCACAACAATGTACAGGCAGTCCCCTAGTTACATACATCTGACTTCTATACGACTCCTACTTGCAAATGGAGGCTATTACTGTACAGCAGGGGTAGTTGTAATGCTACTGTGCTCGTGCCCGGCCTTTTTGGGTCTGGTTCGTAGTACTGTACGTACATTACAGGAAGTTGGCTCTTGACGTGCACGCCTCTTCTTCCAGGTCACTGGTCACTGTGAGGTTTTAACTGCGGTCTGTATCCTCGTTAGGAAGATTTAATCTCACTTCCTGTCCTTGAGGCAACAGGAAGTGAGAGGAAATCTACCACTAGGAAGGGAAATTCACTCCTGTAAGAGTTGTCATGGGGAAAAAGGTGTCTCTACTGAAGCTTTATGGCCAATCCTTGTTTCCAGGACAACCCAAATTCCAATTCTCACATGGACAGAAAGTGAGGTGAAATCTTCTGAACATGACCTGTTTCAACTTACATACTTAAGAACAAACCTACAGTCCCTATCTTGTTTGTAACCCGGAGACTGCATGTAATCGGCAGTGTCCGGCTGCATTGATAACTTGTCAGCAGGCAACAAGGGAGCGATGAAAATGCGGATCACCCACTTGTTTTTATGTGCGAATGTGGCCAACTGATGGCCATGATTTTGAAAAGTTCCATAGCCAGTATAATGCGTGTTAAAAAAAAAATCATGCAATTGTTTTATTTTCATTGGTTCCTTTAGACATTAGCTCAATTTTCAGGCCTTGTTCACACCAAGCGTGTTCAGGAGCAGAGCAGTTACAGACCGGAGCAAAAGTGCATCCAATGTATTCCAATGGTATTTTGGGCTCTAGTTCACACCGCAGCGTTCCGTTCCAGAGCATGTAAAAAAACTGCAGCAAGCCCTATTTTACCTGCCCTGGAACGCATCAATAATGCATGCAAACGCCCTGGAACTTTTTTTTTTTTTTTAACCAAAAACGGCCCGGGAAGGCATCAAAAATGCGGCACAACCCACTGCTCTGCGTGTGCAGAAACTCATGCAGATCTGGTCTGCATTTGGTGTGAACAATCCCTTAAGTCATTCCACCAAATTTAAAGCAATAATCGTGTCAGCCTTTGTAAACCGATACCAAAATCAAATGTAATGTAGTGAAGTATAATGTTTACTAGCAAAATATACTTGTACAGTATAGGTATAGGCTTGTTTCTACTGCCCACTCTCATTCCTTGTGTGGACGTGTTTCTGCAATGAATGTTACAAAATGTTCCTTCTTGAATAGTTACGATGGGTACAACAATAATCACACATTCTGAGAACACAGGGTTTATTGATGAAAGCTGTGACACAAAACGTAATCTGATGTATAGAACCGGGGTGAACATATAGTGCAGTGTAGCACATTCATTTCTTTCTAATATCGGTGATCATATGATGTTGGTGTTGGATTTTTTTCTGGATTGCTGCAGTCCAGAGGCTCATTGTGCTCCGTGATGCAGTTATTTTCATTTAGAGAGGAGGCTGTGCTTCGAATAACATTATTGTGTCCCAGCACAGACCTGCTCCCATGTATTCTAGTTTAGAGTCAATACCTTCTGATGCCCTCTGCCTTAAACAAATTACTGACACAGCATTGCTGGGCCAGTTCGATGCAAACATATACCAGGCATTTAATCTAAATTTAGACAAGCTAATTAACATTTATGAAATCCCTGCCTGGGTTAATATAGCAGCCAGATATAATTGAATCAAAGTGTGCCTTTGTTGTCATTACAACCAACTTTTGTGTGCACTGGTGTCCGCTGGTCATATTAGCGGAGTTTTCTTTGACCGTAAAATAAATGCATATAAGGGGGCTTAATGGTGTTTATTTTTAGGAAGTACATATTTGGGTTACTACTGTAATATTGCTTCAAAAATAATGTTTTTTTTTACATGCTTTACAGTATATTCTATATTTTGATTATTGTATTCTTGTATTCCGAGTTATTGGTTATATATGTACCACAATGCACTTAGGTAATGTATCTCAACCCAGATGCATTGCAGTGCACGACAACAGCTGATAACACGCTGCCGTGCTTTGCAGTGCAATGTGGCGGGAAAAACCGCACTCCTCCTTTTTTCGTATGTTACTACTAGAACCTAGTGTGACTTGGACCTTAAAATTTCAATAGTTTCCTTCCCAACTAAATGTGAGGTTGTGGTCCATCACGGGAGCGAGTTTCCTAATTTGTAGTGACATTATAATCTATCACAGGAGAGAGCCTGGCGCTGTCACTACTTTGCAGCACACACAGGGACCATGGGGAACAAAAGTAGCCTCCCTCCAGAAGGAAGGACAGTGTCAGCACCAACTCAGAGATGATTTGAGGATCTACAGCTGAGTGATGCACAAATAAGATACATTTTGTTGTAGTTAAGGTCCTTGAATGCACTCTTAAGATTGAACTCCTGAGTTTAGTGCCACTTTAAGGAATTGTATACATAAGCTTTTTTTTCATAGGTATTATTGAGTAATGAAGTTCAACTTGTGCATTACAGTTAATAAAAAGCTTAAGCTGGCCATACACTAGGCATTTTTTCATGTTTAGCCCCAATGGGGTGAACGAGAAAAAAAAGCTTGATCGCCCCATCCACACGTGCGCCCACCACTGTCACAATACACAAACAGTGACTCCAGGTAATTGGCTGCAGTCACTCTTCAGCTGAGAAGGCACCCGTACGTGCACAGTCACGGCACTGCCTGCACCTTGCTTTCTGCGTCCATAGACACGCATAGCGTGCGGCCGGCCACGCCCCACCCTGCAGTCACAGCTGCCATCAGTACCCTCCCCCACAACCAGGAAGTTGGGGGAAACCTGTGTATCTTCCTGGTCACGGTGGAGGAGACGAGCGGCTGCAGGTAAGTGTGGGGGGGTCGGAGGTGTTAAAAAACAAAGTTGTGCCGCCTCAACAGGGGCATAGAATATGAGATGCATAGCCTCAGTTAATATTAGCATTGTTATATAGGTTAGAATTTATATAGTGTGATTTGCCTAACTATTTTCTCATAGCTTAATCCATGTGTTATCCTATGCTGCCATCTAGTGGCCTTTTGTTGTAACAAACATGTTTTCTGTAATTATTCCTCATGTGACGATGTATTTCCCTCTAGTGTATGTAGCCCCACCCTTCTTCCTGTGTGCAGTACTTCCTGTGTCATGGCAAAGCTAGCAGCCACATGTAACAGGACACACATATAATCTGCACAGTACGGAGGAAAGGCATCATTTTCTGACCGCACAATACTATAACCGTTCAACTGCTGTTCCTATCATCTGCTGTAACCTGATGTTAAAGAATAAACACCTCTTTTGAATGAATCGGTATTGACTAGTTCAGCTATCTGACGAGGATTGTCCGCAGTGAGTATATCTGCTTATACAGGCCAGGCATAGAGGTCTCAGCAAGGGATATATTTCGCTATCACAACGATCGGAGTCAGAATAAAAGTGCTGGGTGTTTTTTGCCTTGACGCAGAGAGTGCATTAAGGCAAAAAACACCCAGCTTATTTAGTACTACTTTAATATTTTTTGGTAGTATGGTGTTTTGGGAACACTGGAAAAGCATGCCATGTATTTACAAACCCATCCATTGTGGTCTTCCTGTTGTGTCTCGCACAAAGTTGCACAAAATCACAAAAAATTACATACTACCCAGCTTTAAAACAGCAGACCTTTACTCCCTTTTACTAAAAAGCACATCTGCATTCTGATATGAAATCATCTTACATTCATTAGTTAAACATATTTTTCTTTTACTTATTGTTTTTCCACTTCTTGGTCCTCTTGGGCATGATAGTGACTTAATGTGCCCAAACATTGCATCCTGGGAAGGCTACATCAGCAGAGCAATGCTGGGAAATCTCATCTGTAATCTCACGAGATCTCAGGGAAAGGTATTTGTGCATGGTCACATGTTCCAGTTACATGTCCCAGAGTTCCAGAAAGTAAAGAGGGATATATTAAGCTGCCCTTAGTAAATATGGCCACCGTGAGAATTATAGGGAGGAAAAGAAAAATAAGGTATACACAGAATAAAAAGCCGGCAATTATCTAGAAGTATGTGTTTGTAGATTGTCATTACTCAACATTTCTAAAGGTGTATTTGTTGTAATTTCAAAGATATGGGTACAGTTCCTCTTTAAGATAGAATGGACTTTCTGACTTTACTGCCATTCTTATCCTTCATTTCCCTTGCTGAAGTATCCGATTAATTGGACAATAATATTATTGTGGACAATAATATCCTTGAATTGAACACAAACCCCCTTGACCTCTTATTTAAAACTGTCTGAATTTTTCTTGATGACAATAACCACAACCTCGAGTCTCCTGATGCTCATATCAAGTTGTAGGATGATTCCTTTCATGTTTCTATTACAACATGTATGTGGATGAAGGGCAAAGCGTCCCTGCCTTAGAGAGCATTAACTTTTCTTCATTACCAAAGACTACTAGAATTTGCCATGTATATGATTATTCCCTCTAACTATATGACTATTTCCTTAGTTCATTTATTTGGACCCAGTAATGTGTTTTTTTATATTGAATGTTTCTAACGTATACCAAGGTTAAAGTTGACTAAGGCAAATGGAAGAAGTGAGCCTTGAAATTAATTTGGGAATGTAATTCTGGGTGATTAATGAAAGGAAAAATGTAGGGAAGCTCCAATTCAAACGAGGCACTTCTATGAGTCCATTTAGTTGTAACAACTAAAATATCTCTAAGCCTGATGAAGGGGACCCTGTGAGGCCCCAAAAGCGCTTGCCAATGAGATACAGCTATTGGCAATAAAATATTTTGCTTTTTCAACTTATGGCATGCTGGTGACATTTTTCTATTGAACTAAAATACTATAACCCATTGTTTTATTGCGTATTGTATTGTACTGTACTGTGTTTTCCCACCATCAGCTGTGAAGTAGAAAATGGAAGCTGACATTTTTTTCCCCTGTTTTTTTTTCTTTTTCTCTCAATAGCAACTATTCAACTGCCAGTCTCTGCACAAGTTGAGTTTGCCAGACAATGACCTAACAATATTGCCAGCATCTATAGCAAATCTCATTAATCTCAGGGAACTAGATGTCAGCAAGAATGGTAAGTTCCTTTACAAGTTAATTGAATTGTGTGTCAATAAGCTCTTAACTATTCTAGTTGGCACAATAAGTGCGTATTCTTGTTTTCTTTGTTTGATTTTGATTTGTGCCTGTGGATTTAGTTATTTCTCTTTGTGTTGACTGTATTTACAGATTACATTCATTTAGGGATATAGTATAATATGCTTTACTGACATCAAGTTGTTTAAATTCTACGTGGCAGGAAAATAGCAAGCAACGTTTCTTCAGTTAAATTGCAACGATGTTCTGTTATTGTTTCAGAAAAAAAACCCTTTTTTTATTTATTTTAGAAGAACTATGGTTGACCATTCTTTCCCTGATGTTCGCAAATGATGCCATTCATATTAGTGTCACTCAACGTGGGGAGTCCAGGGGCAATAAATATAAGTGCCAAGTAGACACTATTGTAGTTCCAGCAATGTGAGGGAAAATCTTCCTAGGTATTATTAAACTTTTTACTGTTTTTGTTCCACCCTGTGTCCCAGTTGTCCACCTCCTGTTTTGTCTGACACCTGCCAAATAGGAACTAGTTGATGTCCCTTCAGTTCCTGTGCTGTCTGACACTTGTCAAATAGTCTGGGGACATAGACATCAATAAAAGGTTGAAAGAACTCCTAACTTTTTCCCCCCCCCCCAAAAAAAATATAGTCTGGAGCTGGGCTTAAAAGGGAAATAATGCCAAACCTTGGTCTCTTGAGTCACAGGAGTAGATTTACTAATGTACTCCTGTGACCCAAACTCAGCATATAGTGGGCAGTAACCCACTAGATGCTCACATTGCAGAGCCGCACTGCAGCCGGGAAGGATTCCGACAATATTGTCGGGATGCCCCCCACTGCCTATGTCTACCCCCTCCATAGTGTGTCCCTCCAATAAGCACTGGAGAAACAGAGAGAGGGGAGAGGAAACCCTTGTGGGGAGTGGTGACTGACAGTGATCTCTCTCAGCAGGGAGAAGTCTGGTGCTGAACAATCAGTGGTTTGTGATCGCTCAGTTCTGGAGCTATAGAGCCGGTGTGTGGCAGCTGCAGTGTCACAGGCCAGCTGAAACTATTGGGAAGAGTACATTTTACGCTCTCAATACTTTTCCTTTCAGTTCAGGTGATGCAGCCTCCGTTTTTGTTATCTAAACGTATCTAGGGACTTGCGAGAAGCCTTTTTCTTTAATAAGAAAAGATGAACTGTGGGGAATGGTTAATTAGCCAGACAGTGAACATAGTTTAGGGATTTCTAACCTTACCAGCCTTGTTCTTGAGAACAGAAGTTCTCTACTCATTTAACCTTTAAATGGAAGAAGTGTAATGCATCCTGAGACAGGGATGTGGTAATACCAGGATCTGTGCCATTTCCTTTATTCTCCATTATGGATGCAAGTATTTTAGCATCCTGTCATGATGAAAGATACACCACAGGTCAGTAATAAGTGTTCCTCCTTGTCTATTAGTGAATTATTAGTATGTTCATTTTAGACCTATAGTAGGGAATATGACTTTTTCAGTGAAAAGTAAATTCTTTTGTTTGAAAACATGAAAGTGGGAATGATCAGAGGTCATTTGTAAGTGATTCACCATTATTCTAGAAATGACGTTTATGTTTGAGCTGATCTTGTGCTTGGTCTTGATTATTCTGCTTTCTAAATGAATAAAAGAGTAATTTGACAGTGAAATCCAACATGGCCATCAACATTTGCTTCACCCCCCCCAGAATGTACTATATTAACCACTTCAAGACCAGGTGTTTAGAACCCCTTCCGGGCCGAGCCATTTTTCAGTATTCAGCGCTGCGATACTTTGACTGACGTTAATTCCGTCATGCAACGCTGTACTGAAATGAATTTTATACCATTTTTTGGAGACAGTGTTTTATTTTTTACTATAATTATGAAAAATTACTGAAAATTTTGGGGAAAAAGTTTTTTTTATCACGCAAGGGGCGTGTCTGAGCGGACGTCTGAAGACGCCCGCTCAGATCTAGAGAGCTCCTGGCCGGCCGTTTTTTTACTACGGCCGGCCCGGAGGCAGTTAATGCAACTAACCAATTCGTTGAAAAAATAATCGGGCAACTAATGGATAATGAAAATAATCGTTAGCTGAAGCCCTAATGCCAAATGTCATCAACATTTGGTAACTTTTGCTGATTTTGGGGAAGAAATATTTGCATGCAGAGGTATAATTGGCTCCAAAGCTCTGTTGATAATAACTCTTTTGGGTCTTTTTGGTGTGACATTGCTGTAGAACAGTGTTTCTCAACCTTTCTAGGGCCTTGGTAACATTTGCCAAGTTGTGGTGACCCCCAACGGTAAAATTTAGGGATGACACGGCTGCTGCAGTGACATGTGGCGGCGTGGCGGGAGAACTGACACTGCTGTGCTAGGAGAGGGCTGTGTGTCTGAGCGGACGTCTGAAGACGCCTGCTCAGATCTAGAGAGCTCCTGGCCGGCCGTTTTTTTACTACGGCCGGCCCGGAGGCAGTTAATGCAACTAACCAATTCGTTGAAAAAATAATCGGGCAACTAATGGAACTAATCGTTAGCTGAAGCCCCAATGCCAAATGTCATCAACATTTGGTAACTTTTGCTGATTTCGGGGAAGAAATATTTGCATGCAGAGGTATAATTGGCTCCAAAGCTCTGTTGATAATAACTCTTTTGGGTCTTTTTGGTGTGACATTGCTGTAGAACAGTGTTTCTCAACCTTTCTAGGGCCTTGGTAACATTTGCCAAGTTGTGGTGACCCCCAACGGTAAAATTTAGGGATGACACGGCTGCTGCAGCGGCATGTGGCGGGAGAACTGACACTGCTGTGCTAGGAGAGGGCTGAGGAGGACTCTTACCTAGCACAGCAGAAATCACACAGCGACTTAAAATTTGGGGGGGGGTTTAATTTTTTTCCCCTTTTTTTTTTTCCCCCCACTAAACTTTATTGCTATCGCATACGGGGGCTAATAAACCCCCCCTATGTGATAGCTACTCACACCGGGCACAGCAGAGCCCGGGATCAGCGGGACAATGGCGGGGGGCGCACCGATCGTTGCAAAATACAAGCGATCCGCCGGCTCTACAGCCGGCGGATCGCATGTATGTTAACAGGCACCGCTGCCTATTTTTAAATTGCGGCCATTTCCCGCGTGGGCGTGTCTGAGCGGACGTCTAAAGACGCCCGCTCAGATCTAGAGAGCTCGGAGGCAGTTAAAGCCATCTTATACTTAAAATATAAAGTTTGGCTTTCTAACAGTAATGCATAAGCACAGTTTAATGTGGTAAAACATTTAGTAGAAAAATGTATTTATATCAGATAATTCCACATTACGTGGAAGTAAAGTAATTTAAATAAATGCTGACAGGTGGATATTTATGACAGAAGAGACTCTATATTTGTCTATTCTGTCATAATTGCTCCTCCCTGCCTGTCAGTATTTGTGTGCACATGCCCGGCACGGTCCTGAGGTGAAGTAACTCCCTTGCACATGCTTGGGAGTTTCATTATCATCTCCGCCTGGCCAATCAAGAGTCCGAAGATGCCGAACCCAGAAGATGGAAGCGGTGTCAAAGAAGAGTGCTGACATTGCAGCGCTGGAGGGCATCACCTGCAGGGTAAGTCTGCCGTAATGTGTGAATATGCTGTGCTTACTAGCACATTATGGCAAACACCTCCTGAGGGCCCACTATTATAATCTTGTGTTGGCGTTTATTACCACTTAAAAAGCTAAGACCACTTCGAAAAATGTAACCATGCCTATGCAAGATCTGTTCATTTAGCCCCTCAGAAGCCTATTATGGTGCCCATACACCTGCCGATTATCGGACGGTAATCGGCAAGTGCATGGAAGGCGTGCGACCATTTCTACTGTAAGGTCGCACGTCTTTTGTCTCCTAAGCAGGCTTGAAAACCCGCCGAGAATCGTACAATTTTCAGCGGGTTAGTGGTCTCGGGAGACAAATGCCGCACGGCGCGGTGTACGCAAGCGCACACTGCCCGCTCAGCATTGGAATCATCGGAATGCCCTCCCCTCAGGGGGGCGGGCTTGCGATGATCGCAAGTACGATCTGCCTGTCCAGGATGGGCAGGTCGTACGAGCTTTTAATTACCTTACAACCATCGCAGGATGAAAGTCGTGCGATGGTTGTAAGGTGTATGGGCACCTTTTAGGCTTTTTCTCTACTGGTCAGAATGAAATGTACTGCATATGTATTTAAATATTATATGAAATCAAATATCTAACAACAGGTGTTACACATAAACACACACACATCCACATAGTATCTACATATTATATGATATGACATGTAAATGCATCTAATCTTTTATACATCATCAGAAATTAGAATACATTTCTATTAAATGATACAAATATTTTTAGGGAACACTTATTTATTTATATCTCTTTGACCTTTTTTGTGCGGATACTGCAGGCGTAGAAATCACCATCCTTCCAAAGAGAACTCAGGTAATGCTGAACACCCCATATCTTGAGAGGTGCGACTACAGCACAGTGCAGGATCATCTTCCTATGAAATTTGGACTACTTCACTTTCTCTGGGATCTTGCCAGAAGCAAAGTGACCTCACCTTTGCTTCATGGGTTGAGGGGGGGAGGTTGATATATTAGCTAACATTTTTTTTCCGGTCTTTTTTTCCAGTTAGCTGCAAGGAGGAGGGGACCCTCACTAAAGGATCTGACCTTGCTATGTTAGTGTAAGGTCCGCTTTAAGTATACTGTAATGTAATCAAGCAGTTACTGCGGACTGTAGTAGTTTTACTGGCTGTGCTGATAATAGAGATTTTCAATTCTGCCAGTTTTCCTGTGCTCTTCCCTATATATGGTTCGTAGATGTCTGAATCTGGCCTCTGTGAAAGAAGATGAGATTAAACTTTATAGCGCCTGTAACAGGAGGAGTAAAACAAATATTGACATTCCCATCAAAATTGAAGGGGGAAACGAGCAGAAGAAAGTCGGCAGCCTTCTAGCAGTTCTATTAGATG